GAGGAGGAGAAGCAGGAGGAGGAGGAGGAGGAGCAAGCAAGCAAGCAAGCAAGCAAGCAAGCAAGCAAGCAAGCAAGCAAGCAAGCAAGCAATATCCCATGCAGTCCTGGTGCACAGCATCGGTCAGACGTAAAAACAAGTTTTGCGAACTCTGGGGGGGGGAATTTTCCTTTGAACGCCGACTGCCTCTGGACGTGCGCCATGTGCTCTCGCCCAAAGGGCGCACTGCCCCTGTAAGGGCAACCCTCTCTATGGACACGCATCCCTGGAGGGCGCCCTCAGGGGCCCGAGGCGCGCACCCCGCCCCCCCCCCCCTCGGAGGACGAGGGGGGGGGGACGGTGGGGACAGTTCGGGCTTCCTCCCCAGGGACACGTGCCCTGGGGGGTCTCCCACTCTGCAGGAGCTCTTGGTACCTAATACTATCCGACCATACGCTGGAGCTTGCTCCTCTCGTCGGAGGCGTAGCTCGTCGTCTACTCGAGCTGTCCCGCCCACCCCCGCTCCACCCCCGCCCACGGTCGGAAATGCTCGACTGCTGACTCGTTGTTGCTGTCGTGCTGCTGGCAAGATTTACCGATGCTGCTACAATTGACCGCGTAGACTCGACGTTCGTTCTAACAAAACACGGGGCCGAAAACTTTGTTCCTCGGCCCTTCCGCTCTGCTCATCCGCTCTACCTCTCACGATGTCGCCCCTCCTCAGAGCGATCGGCGATCTCCCTTTGCCCTGGGCCTCGATAATTCGCGCCACCTCCCTCTCGAGCGGGCCCCTCGGCGCAGCTCCTGTCTTGCGCACTCCGTTGAGCGCCATCATCGTCTTCATGATCAGCTGGCGCAAGTTGGTGACGTGCTCGTGGTTCGGGCCCAGCGCCCAGACGATCCTCCCCTTCGGCTCGTCGGTGTTCTCCTTCTTGCCTTTGTCCGGCCGCCAGCAGAAGTGCAGAACCAGCTCGGACATCTGCCGGGGCGTGGACTTCATCCTTGCGGCCTCCCAGAACTCGCGCCAGCCCTTCGCGTGCTCGCCATCTAGCCTGTTCACGGCCCACAGGGCGCCCGCGGAGAACATCTGCACGCGCGGCGGGCCCCTCGAGCCCCAGTCGATGCTCTGGCCCTGGGCCTGCTTCTCCTTCCACTCCTTGCTCTGCGCGTCGTACGTCTTTCCCGCCTCTCGGAGGGCTTCGGGCATGCCGTTGGCGGAGTCGGCGACTTCGAACATGGTGAAGACTGTGCCGATGACCTCTGCGATGGCACGACGGTCGGCCAGCACCAGGCGCGCCAGCACGCAGAGCAGCTTTTTTGTTCGTCCTCGGACCTTGACCCTCCTGTGTGCGCCCTCTTCGAGGCGGGTGGTCCTGCCGAGGGCGGGTGCTCGTGCAGCTGCTTCATCCAGGCTGGCATCGTGGCGTCGGCCGAGCTCATTGTCTCGGTCTGGTCGGGCCAGCTGGGCAGCGCGCACAGGAATATGCTGGACGATATGGCCACAGATGTCGGAGAGGTCGGCCCCCACGAACTCACACATCGGGCATGCTAAACTCGATGGTGTTTGAACGTCGTGAAATGTTGTAGGGCCCCTCGTATTGCATATACCACTGATAACCGATTGTGCTAGATGACGACCCTCGATAATCTTAGAGGCGAACGATCGGCGACAGTAAATACATATGTTGGTAGGCGATAGGAACTGTCCCAGGTTTTGAACTCTGTGTCGATGTCGAATGTGTTCCAATAGGTCTCGCTTGGTTCGAAGGGCAGCAGAGCACACGTTTTCTCCGTCGGGCCAGTCGCACTTCCACTGCAGAGGTGGCGCCTCTCCAGCGACCTCTGGCGCCACTGAGGCGTACTCGGGAGGAGGTACTGCGACGCGGAGCTCGCGTACACGCAGTTCGGTAAAAATCAAGTTGTCGGAATTCGTTTGCCACCTGTGGGTCCAAGAACTCCAGGGGGGTGTCCGCGAAATACACCAGCAGATCAGGTTCCATCTGAGCGGCCGCCACTCGGAAGTCATCCTGAACTCGTTCGGCCCAGGGGGAAGCGTAGCTTGACTTTCTTGAGTAGACCGTCGGCTGATATGAGTGACCCCTGGTCCCTCGCTCGAAATCGATCTTGCCGAAGAGGGAACTGAGGACGTGGGCGTTTTCCTTCGGGTGTTTACTCCAGTCATGATACCATCTTGATCGTCGGACTCGCATCTCGATCTCTCATCGGGCGATTTCCCCCCCCCCAAAAAAAAACTGGCTGTTCGTCCATGTGCGAATCTTCGTCTGGGTTTCCTCCCCCTGTCCGCTCTCCTCATTCGTTCCTCGGCCTCGAAGAGGGACACGGGCAAGGCTGACACGACGCGAGTCCATGTTCTGATATTGGGCAGTAGAAATGTCGAGCGCCTCGAGGCCGCTCAGCATCGCGTTCTGGACCGTGCTGGTAAACACGGTGCGAGTCCATTTCCACGGAACTGGAAGACCCCAGAAGCCACCCATGTTGTAGAGCCCTGTCGAAGCCGCTTCGAGACGCCTCTAAACTTCCGAAGACGAGGTACAGGAAAGATTGATGTGCGGACCCAGGTACCTGGCTTCCTCCCGGAGGCTGCCCCCAAGTTCTCTCGCCGCGTGCTTTCGTATCCAACTTCTGCATGCCGGAGAACCCTCCCCTCCCACGTGGAACAGAACAACTTCTTTGTCGAGGTTCTGCTTATAGCCAATGGTATCCAGGGTCTCATCGAGGATCTGATCTGAGTCCTGGAGCACCTGGAAAAAGCTAGAGGCGGACTGAAACTCCTGAGCCAGCGTAAGCTTCAGCCAGTCGTCTGCATACTTGAAAAGGCTGAGGTCGGTCGTGAGGTCCTCGCCTGT